TTTACATCAAATTCTGACTTAGATATTTGATTTTCTTAAAATAATTTCTTACATTGATTGTTGTGAAAAAATATATTCGGTTGTTTGTATTTTACGTTTATATTAATCTATGTAAGTATCTTTAATATAGATGTTTATAGGACGTATGAGGACGCTCAAAGTCGCTCAGCGAGCTATGGAGAGGGCTATGCAAGGAGTTTCTCTGCGTGATAAACTTAGAAATGAGGATATCTGCAGTAGAACCAGAGTGACCGACATAGCCCAACGGATTAGTAAGCTGAAGTGGCAATGGGTCGGCCATATAGCTCGAAGAACCGACAACCGTTGGGGTAAAAAGGTTCTCGAGTGGCAGCTTCGTACCGGTAGGCGAAGTGTAGGGCGACCCCCCACTAGATGGAGTGACGACCTGGTAAGACATGCAGGCAGTCGATGGATGTAGGTGGCTCAGGACCGTGCTTTGTGGTGTACCTTGAGGGAGGTCTACGTTCAGCAGTGGACTTGTGAAGGGCTGTAATGATGATGATGATGTATCTTTAATAATACAAGTACACTAACCTAATTATGAATTCTAAATGTAATTATTTTTATACGCTTTATAATAGTCTAATCTGTATTTATCTATGATTGTATGAATATAATGGAATTTTGTAATTCAGTTTTCATCCACTTCTGCATAATATGAAATTTTGCAGACGTGTTAATAACCGACGAAATTACAATAATTAAATGACGTTGAGCTTTGACGTATTATTCTAACTAGAATCATCACAGACCATGATCAATACGAGGTGTTTAAGTTTTCTTATATCTCTTATACCTATTTTTATCTAATCTGATCGCATAAAATCTGCATGAAAAACTTCTTCTAAATTCTTTATCATACATTTTCTCATATGTGAGTAGGTACGAACGTGATAATCTCTTAATTCAATAATTGACCAACAGCCCGGCTAGCTCAGTCGGTAGAGCATGAGACTCTTAATCTCAGGGTCGTGGGTTCGAGCCCCACGTTGGGCGATAAGTTTTGTTGTTAAGTAACCAATTTTATAATGGCACGAAAGCTATATATTTTTAATTAAAATACAAAACAAAAAAGTTTGGAAGTTCAAGTCAACACGAAACAAGTTTATTTTATCACAAAGTATTTTGTAATATTGTTTTTGATCGGCAAACGTTTTTCTAAATTTTATCAACGGTCATTAATTACTGTGGTAGGTAAAATCTCAGAGCCATCAGACGTATGTCATAGGGTGATGACTGTACATAGTATATGTATGCGTTTATTTTTTCTATTTACGTTATACTTGTAAATAGGTGCTGCATGTGCAGGGGACTGGTCTCCTCGTGTTTGTGATGATACTGATCATGAGCTGCAATTATCATAATAAGGATAGTACGTGATAGTCATGAAAATGTATGGAATTGTTATCGATTCTTAATACGTCTGCAAAATTTCAAATTATGCAGACGTCTGGAAGTGGATGAAAATTTGACAATCAAATTTAAATAATAGGTACATTATAAACACACACATACATGTGAAGCAAAATAAAATTGTGTTATTAAAGAATTTTCATTTTATTTCGTAATTTAAAATATTTTTTTTTTTTGATTAAAGCTATTGTTTATGCTTGTGTAAAATGTAAATAATTAGATACGGGTTTAAGCGGGGTTATCGGGGCAAAAAACAATTTGAACAATACGTTTTTAAGGAACTATTAAATATACTCTCTTTAAACAGTGGTAAGTTATGGAAATCAAACATAGGAACATGTTTTAAGGCTGTGATAGAAATAAATTTTAATGTAAAAAAATGTTTACTCTAGAGTCATTAACATTATGCAGGAAAAAAGAGGAATAAGTTTGTATTGGTTTGTATGGACCGTGTTAGAGGAAGCTTAAGGTTGGAGGACAGTATTAAAATCCGTCTAAGCGATTGCATGATTTAGATGGTAAGTACCCGGATGACCGGTTTTTTTTTTTTGAAATTACATTTATAAATTATATACTGATGAAACATAAACAATATTTTTTTGATCTTGTTGATAGAATAGAAAAAACTGAACTGGTTATTTGAATAAAAAATCATGAGTGCAATTAGTTTTATTAAAATTTTCATATTTTTAAAAAATACTAAAGAAACGGGATTGAAATAATAGATTTTCTCATAAAAGAAGGGAACTTGAAAAAAAGTCGGACTCAAGACGGGACGCGAACCACGGAACTCCGATATCACACCTGACCGACATCCCACGTGAACTATTACGATAGTTAGTGGTTTGTCAAAATTTACCTTCTTATATTGTAGCAGTTTTTTATTGCCTGAAAACATGGACAAAAGAACATTTTCTAAAAATAAATCCTAGCTAGATCGATTTATTGCCCCCGAAACTCCCTGGACACTAAATTTTATGACAATCGTTGGAGTTGGATATACAAGAATTGTTTGTTTAAAGGTATAGGATACGTCAAAGTATGTATGTATGCCATTTATATGTTCTTATGTCATTTATACAAAAAATTAAACACAACTAATGAAAATGTAAGTCAATAAACTAATACTGGACGGTCCATTATCTATTGCACATTTTATAAAACAGGTCATTGATTTTAGAAAGAAACAAACATGGCGCTCGTATATTTCAGGTCATTGCGCACTTTGGTTTACAAACACACGCCCACGCAGTCCGCATGTTCGATTGTTTTCTGATCTTGGCCTCCTGGATTTATTTATTGCTAAATTTGTAAATTATGATCAAGACTTGAAACGGCGTTTACAGGGTGCAAACGAATCTTATTAAAATGTTGATAACACCCAGTGTATGTTTACGTTCAGATAACTTCAGATGAAGCCGTGGATGCTCATCTTACGTGGTAGAGCCATGCTGCGGTTATATTAGTAGTATAGTTGTAGCACGAATGGGTCGGCTCGACCGGGGAAGGACCACGCTCTCACAGAATACCAGCGTGAAATAGTAGCTTAATGCTGCTGTATTTCGTATGGTGAGTGTAGAGAACCGGAGACCCTTTTTACTGGAAGCGAGGCATTCCATCTTAGTCCTCACGGGTGACAACGCATCTGCATTTTGATTCGTAATCGAGGATATATAGATGTAGATGTCTATGGGCCACAGCAACCACTTACCATCAGATGGACTGTGTGCTCGTTTGTCACCCTATCCTATAAAAAAAATCTTAATGCTTATAGTATAGGAAGTTAAGTTTTTCAATCATCGCTGAAAATTTTTAGTCGCAACTTTAATGATCATATTGTATACCTAAACTTATTTTTGACGTGGTAGAGTCAAGCTGCAGCTATTATGGTTGTAGCGTGAATGGGTCGGCTCAACAGCGGAAGGACCAAGCTCTCACAGAATACCAGCGTAAAATAGCAGCTTAATGCTGCTGTGTTTCGCATGGTGAATGTAGAGAACCGGAGACCCGTTTTACTGGAATCGAGGCATTCCATCTTAGTCCTCAAGGGTTACAACGCATCTGCATTTTAATTATTAGTCGAGGTTAAATGAAGATGTATATGGGCCACAACATCCACTTACCATCAGGTGGACTGTGTGTAAATTAGGGAAGACACATCATTTTATTTAATAACTATTAATATCACTATTATAATGGATTTCCGCAAAGTAACGCCCGATTCCATCAATTACATTGGATTTATATGAATTATAAAATTTAAGAAATGAATTGCGATTGATTTTACTGGACAGGTACCTACAATCAATGTTGACAGAAGTCGTAATTATAATTATACTGATCAGAGCTAGCTTGCTACATATTATCTAAGTATTTATCTACGATGAAAGCAGATCAGGCTACGATGAAGAGAACACGCGATTGCCTTTGTTCAACGTTATGATCACCAGGCTTTTTAAAGTACGCAATCTGTAAAGTGAAGTAACAGCCTACATGCGTCTTACAGTTGGGCACCTCTTTTAATTTTTAAGAGGGTTTTTAGGGCAAGGAAGATTACGGCATGGCTCTAAAGTGCGTAGCCGGAGTTCACATATCCCCGAAATATTTTATTTATTTATTAAATTTATTTGCATGAAATATGGACAGATAAGGATAAGAGCAATTCTTTAAACACAATACAACTAGTACTATTCTTAAAGCACTCATGGTTTACTATGTAATTGCAAATAGTATAAAATTTTACATACGAGTAAATGCAGTATAGATGTAGAGCACGTACAAGTGAAATTTATAATATTCAGTATAATACAATCAGGCTAAAACAAATGGAATTACAAATGGAATTACAAATTTAATAAAAATAGTTAATTATATTTGAAATAACAAGTTTCGTCAATGTCTTTATCGCCGTGTAGTGGCTGTACAATAACATTCACTATAACAAATCGTCCCGTGGGTTTCTTAAGAGGCGATGGAATGAAACAAACCGGGAGATGGGCTTAGTGTCTTAAAAGATGATCAAAAAGATGGCTTAAAAATAACTAGAATATAAAAAGAATACATAAAAACTGCGGCCACCCCGCCTGCCAGCGTGGCACTTATGGCAAGTACCCCCCCTGTAAGGCAATCAATTGCGGAGGCTATGTTCAGTTCAGTATTATGACTTTTGATAGGGTGTAGAGTACGGTTTGTCACCGCCCGTGATATTTTTTTAATAGGATAAGGGTCACAAACGAGCACACAGGGTCAGTAAAACTAGAGAAGACACATCATTTTATTTAATTAAACGGATTGTTGCAAAATAACTATTAATGTCTTTATTATATCCAATGTAATCATATTCATCCCAGAGTTAGTATTGGAGAAATTTCGTGACCATTATTTAGATTTGATTAGTTAATCCCTAAGGTTGGTCAAATAAATCACTTCTACAATTTTTGAATAATGCATGGTATAATATATGGCATAATATGCGGCATAAACAAATTATTTAAAAGATAAAATTTCGTTGAGAAATACAATTAATTATACATATTTAAAATGTAAAATATTTTGGAAGGACTTACCTATTTTTTTGTAGCAAAATCGAACTCAAAAATGATTTCACAAGGAAGGACAACACAATGCCTTTGTCTCTACTCGTAAGAAAACTAACGCCGAAATCGGCGCGATTTTCGCTTTTCACGCGTTATCAAATTGACGCAACAATAAAACTTCTGATTACTTTTAATTTCCGCTAGCAATTATTAATGTTATTCAAATTGTTTATAACCGATTATTTAACAGAAAACTCTAACGTCTGTTCAGTTTTCTAGTCAAATGTGAACTGTTTTATGTCGAGATGGGATAACAGACGTCCTGGAGGAAAGCCAATATGGCGGCTTGCCAAGTACGAAGTACGACCAATGCGTTGAATCTTAAGGTAAACGCGATCAAGATCGCAACAGGTATAAAGAACAAAACAAAAGGAAAACAATTAAGCATTTAAGAATTAAACAATACCTAAACCCACGTTGATCTTATAAGAATCAGAAAAAATAGACAAACGTACCTAATAAAATATTCAAAATATGTCTTTGATAAAAAAAAGGAAGAAAGTAGGTACTATCTACATTTATTAGTCAGAAGGAGGCATACACCTATAAAGTAAATTAAGCAATGTTTAGAGCATAATAATAGAGTTTATTCGTCCCATTCACGTAGCGACTTAGAATAATAACATAGGATATGCGTAGCGACAGTATCTATCTATCTTCTAAGAAATGTACGGACTCGTAAGCACGTGCCACAGCACGCACACAACGATACTTGCTAAGTCGGATTATTTGAGTCTTTGTTGACTTTTAATAAAATTTTGCTAGTAGTCTTTTTTTGGTTTTGTTTTCTCTTTTTGTAAAATAAATATATGCATTTTTTAAACTTTTTTTATACTATATCTATATACATAGATATATACCTCATAATCACAAGTATATTGTTTATCATATCACATCAGATCAAATTAATTTTAAACGTTAAATCTGAGCTGACAACATATGATCAGTGTTAATTTAATCGTGTTTTAGTTATTTGGCATTTGTGTAATAAAACTGGATTTTTTTTGACAAACGTTGTTTTTTTGGGAGGAAACTAAAGACATTATTAACAAATATGATGCATAGGTACGTATCCGTATGTATTATGTTTGTAAATATTATAACTACTTATAAAACTAAATCAGACTTAGTCTTTTTGTTTAACAAACAAAAAGACAGTGACTCTGCAATAGTGGGCATTTAAGTACCGCACGGTGCAGAAGAAATCCTACTATTCTGTTTTTACTATGGTAGTATGAGGTATGGATCGTCTATCAAATCGTTGCAAAATCTAGCACACACCATACGTTTTGACTTAGTCGAACCAAAGTTTGAAGTGTATAAGTCGAATGAACGATCCGCGAAAACGACAAACGGTCGCTTTTATCTTTTTTATATATTTTTTTATTTGATGCGGTGACAAACGAGCTCACAGTCCACCTGACAGCAAGTGTTTGTAGTGAACGATGGACATTTATATCTATGTTCGATTAAGAATCAAAATGCAAATGCGTTGTCATCCCTGAGGACTAAGATAGAATGCCTCCTTCCACACACAGCAACGTTAAGCTGCTATTTTACGCTGGTATTCTGCAGGTATTTTAAAAAAATACGTGTCTAGAAATAAGTCAAATTGTGAAACTGGACAATACAGTCCCTTTGGAGGTAGTGTTCTTCTGGAGGAAATAAAAAAATAGCTTCAGCGTGGTTCTACCTCTATAAGGGAGGCAAACGAGCATGCGGCTCAACTGATGGTAATGGTCAAATGACTAACTGCCTGCCGTGTGCTAAATACCTAAATCAAGAAAATAAGTTGTATTATTAGTATTAGCATATATGTGTGGCTTAAAGAAAAATAAATCTTTTTTTTAGTTGCCTTTTAAACACAGCTCATAAATATGCGATTTTTGTAGTAAAATTCTTTTATCTCGGAAATCTTTTTTTTACATTATAACCCGACTGCTCCAGAAGGGGGGGTAATGTTTTTCGAGTGTAATGTCTGTATGTTTGTCAATTTATTTACTCTGTAGCATAAACGCCTTGATGGATTTTAATACAGCAGATTCATCTTAATTGTGGAAGTGACATATGGTATACCGGGTGTTGCAAAACTACCCGTAAAGCCAAAAGGGGGTTAAATGGAGCCTTATAACGAGTCCATTCACTATATTTAAGAACCGTAGTAACGCTGTATAACATACCCCAAAAAAATAAAAAAGTATTATTATTTTCACTGATGTGCAAACCCTATTTCAGTAAAATTGAAGTTCGACTGAGAGGCGGCAGCGTTAGGGGCTGCGGAAGTAGAGGCAACGATGGGGGCTGCGAAGGTTGAGGCAGCGGCGGAGGGTGCGCGGGCGGCGGCGGCGGCCGCCGGGGCGGGGGGAGTGCGGGACGTCGCGGCGCGCTTTGGGCCGCGCTTGGATTTCACTAGCGTGAATAGGGCTGTATCGGTGACCGTACCTTCGGAGTCGGATGACTCCGAGGAGCCGGTGGAGCTGTGGGCGGTCCTCTGGGAGGAGGAAGTAACGGACGTGGTGTCCGAGTGCTCCATATCGGAGTCGGGGTACGCGGGCGAGTCGGTTTGCGGGGTAGCCGCTTGGGTCGCGAGTAAAGCCGTGACGGCGCCTGGAGGGACGCATGCCTTAGGGGCAGGGGGAACTAAGAAATTAGAGACTTGGCTGATGGTGTTCTCATCGGCAACGTAGGCTATGCCTTGGGATTGATAATACTGAGCGATCGCGGCCGAAATGGCGCGTGCAAGACCATGTGTCATGTCTATCGTAGACATGTTGGTTTGGACAGGGGGCTGACGTTTATTCAGGGAAGCACTTGCTCCGGGAAGAACGACGCCTCGTCCTCAAAAGGACAAAGAACGTTTTTCCAGAACACTAACTATGTGCAGGTAACAAATTATAACAATAAACAATAACAATAATAAAAAATAACAAAAAAAAACAGTAACAGAGCCTCCCCGCCGAAGCGAGGGGGCAAGAACGGTGCGAAAAAACAAGAGACTCACCTACGGCGGCTATTCGGCCGGTGTTAGCCGGGTAGAGCGGGGCGCGCGGGCGAGAGGTTGCACTACCGCACGAGGACGGAGCGCAGACTGAATGCACTACCCCTCGGGGGCGGTGCACAAACGGAACTGATGAAAATGGGTACGTAGACCTTTCTGTTAAATAATCTGGTTCCCTGACATGACAACTTACTAGGGTCGGCAAAATGTTTGGCTTTAATAATTAATTATATTTTTTACGGGGTATTTTGTAACAAGTTGTAAAACGTTTCTTGCTAAAGTAAACTTTTTTATTCTTACACTGGTTTTTAATAATGACTGTTTTCATCATTGAGCTTGTTAAGTATAAAATTGTAAAGAGATATTCTTACATGTTGACCACCGACTTCCTGCATGTCATACAGCGATATAAACTCATCCATATATTTCTTTGTCTTCCATCTTTACATTTGAAATACTGACACTTCCCCTCCTTGGCATGAATTGATTGACTTATTGGCTTCGTAGTTCGGACCGTCGCTAATATCCGCACTCAAGCTACGTCAGATGCGGTGAGTATGCTACGGATACGGAAATAGCCTTCGTCGTGCGGACTGTTTACCGACTAATCAATTCACGATCGTACCCATAGATAATGTAATATATAGGGCAATCGTACCTGTCGCATTCGACTGAAGTTCAAAAGATTGTCCGTACGACTGCCGCAGACCCGCTACGTGAATGGCCTGCATTATTATTTGTAATGATAATATTTTCAACAGCTTCGATCCAGACACGACTAAATAAATTTCCATTTCAATAAACAGTTTTAATACGACATTTTAAAGGAAATATCACATTAATACCTCTTATAAAGTTGTAATAAAATCAATTGCCTTGTTTACTACTTTTTAAATCAATGATAAATGCATTATAATTTAAGCACCTATAAAATAAAACGTATTTTTTAAAAACAAACGCGAAATTAGCAAAGTAAACGCACAATTTTGTAGTTGTCAACATATCGACATTTTCTACTAAACGACTGTTTGTTTGTTTGTCTGGGACCACATTATTCTCTCCATAAGTTTCCGTCGACTTTTAAGATAATTTCAGTATGTATATTGATTGCGTAGCCGGGACGGATTGCTAGAATAAATGTATATATATTTAACTATCCACAAGAAAAATTTAACTATCCTTGATCTTCTCAAAAGGGACAAAAATTTATAAATATATATAAAATTATAAGGGTCTCCGATTCTCTTCACTCACCATACGAAATACAGCATCATTAAGCTACTATATTACGCTGGTAGTCTGTGAGAGCGTGGTCCTTCCCCGGCAGAGCCGACCCATTCGTGCTATAATTATACTACTAATATAATTGTAAATTTTTGTCCCTTTTGAGAGGAATACGGATTGTTAATTTTTTTGTCCCTTTTGAGAGGGCTAAGGATAGTTAAATGTTGTCCCTTTCTTTTGAGAGGACTAAGGATAGTAAAAATTTTCGTCCCTTTTAAGAGAACTATGCATAGTTAAATTTTTGTCCCTTTCTTTCGATAGGACTGAGGATAGGAAATTTTGTCCGTTTTGAGAAGAATAAGGATAGTAAATTTTTTGTCTCTTTTGAGAGGGCAAAGGATAGTTAAATTTTTTTTGCCCTTTTGAGAAGACTAAGGATAGTCAAATTTTTATCCCTTTGGAAATGTCACAACAAACATCAAAGTAACAACTGGAATGAAATCTTATTATTTATCTAATTTCATCCACTATTTTTCTCACCCTTAGGGGTGCAATTTTCTCTTTATTATTTTTGGTTTCACCTTTGATTTATAACCTATTCAACGAAAGTTGTTGTAACTGATGGTAAGTGATTACCGCCGCCCATGAATAACTGTAACACCAGGGGACTTGCAGAAGTGTTGCCGGCCTTTTAGAAATAGAGTAAGTATTTTTCTTGAAGGTCCCTAAGTCGTATCGGTCCGGAAAAATCGCCGGTCGTAAACA